TAAACATCAGCCTTGTATGAGACACCTCCAATGTTCTTGTAGAATAACTCTGGAGCAATATATCCTGGTGTTCCTCTTGCTGCTGTGAGAGATACAAAACTGTCATCTATAGGATACAATTTTGCAAGGCCAAAGTCAGAAACTTTTGGATTAAAATTGTCATCCAAAAGGATATTGTGAGGCTTGATGTCAAAATGTAAAATTTGCATTTCACATCCCCTATGCAAGTATTCAATCCCCCTAGCAACCCCAAGAGCAATCTCGAACATTTTTTGCCAACTTAAAGACGTATTGCTTTGCATTGAAAATATGATTTTGTCCAAAGACCCATTGGGCATGAAGTCATATACCAAGGCTTGCTTAGATCCTTCAGCACAAAATCCAATAAGTTGCATGACATTAGCATGATGAATCCTTCCCATGGTAGCAACTTCATTGATGAAATCTTGGCCATTACCTTTTGACGTGCTCAGTAATTTTATTGCTACAAAATGGCCACTTCGAAGTTTCCCTTTGAAAACTGAACCATAACCTCCTTGACCTAATTTATTCTTGAAACTTCCAGTAATCTTCTTTATTTCTGAATATGTGTACCTGATAGGCATGAAATTATTCTGCTTTTGAAGGAACTCTTCAAGTGTATCATCCACAGACAAATGCCTCCTCCTCAATTTGTACACAATGATTGCAAGCAAGATGGATATCCCAAGCAGAGCTCTAGCTAATATAATTGCTCCTTCTCAAGAAAAAAGAAACACACATATTAGTATCTACAACTCTGTAAACCTCCTATGAAAATGAATAATATTTTCAATTCATTTAAAGATTTTTTTTTTTTTGAGGAAATTCATTTAAGGAATTTTTATCAAACTATTTTGGCATGCTTTCTTCTTAAGAAACTGTATTTATAAATACAAAGGCTGTGTCAATGATAATTTAAAACACATACACTAGAAGAGCTTTTCAAATGATATAAAACTAGGTTTCAATTTATCTTCACAAGTTGAATGCCCTTTTGGAAATTTTCTTGTATTTTCATATTTCTTTATGATATTTATATATGAACTACAAATATTTTAGGTTACTACATTAACTAGGAAATTATATAGAAATTTTTTTTTTTCAAATAAAACTAGAGACATACCTGTTGTTGCAATACATTTGATATATGTACCTGTTACAACAAAAAAAGAAAAAGAAAAAAGGAAAAAAGAGAGAGACGGAAGCCAAGGTTATATGGAAATACAGTTATATATTAGGGAGGGGAAAGCAAAATGAATTTTTATTTTGGTCCATATTAACTATTGAACCCATACTCGTTGGTGCATAATTATCCATTAGATGGCGGCCACCGGGAAGGAAAAATGAAAAGCTGTTTAGAAACGATTCCAACGCATTCTTCACTGATTGTAATCTACAAAGTTAAACAAAGCCCAGTGAAGTGATATCAGGTCAAATACAAAGTAAAAAAAATGAAAGCATAATGAGAAGTTAAGAGCATCAAAACAGGGTATCTTCATATTCTTCATAAAGTGAAGATGTTGACAAGTTTCTGAATACTAACATCACCTTCAATGTAATTTTTTCCCCGGGGCAGTTTCTAGAGGAGAACCAAGAATCATCGATTTCATAGCCCTCTAGCAGCTTATGATAAAAATAAGAAGCAGAGACGTCTGCTATATTAGACAGCGAAAACGGAAACTGTGCTTCAATTCTGCATGACTCATTGAAATCAGATGCCTTGGTTTTATGATTGAAAAGAAAAAAGTAGGTGTATGGAGGGGAAGATCTATTGGTGCAAGCTGAGGCATCAACATAAAGTGATGAGTTCATTGCTATATTGCAATTTAGAATATACATAATGTCACCGGAAAAATAACAACATGGGTCGCAAAGAAGGGAACTGCGAGGAATGGAGCACTTATCTCTCGGAAGACTGGGATCGACCAATCGGACTGTATACTTCCTCCCAACAAATGATTTTCCGTCTGAGTCAATACCAGAACTGGTATATTCATTAACTTCTCTGATATTCTTAACAAGGAATTTGCCCAGTTTTGTGACCAAAGTTGTGCGATTGTTCTCACATACGAGTTCATACCCCGGCAAACCACACTCAACAGGATCGGTATTCAATCGGAAAGGGTATGTAATATTAAGGTTGCCGCAAGAAGAAAAAGAGGGGCAAGGCTTGTTTTTGGCTCTAGCCATACAGGCATCAGGACAGAGAGACAAAGCAAGAGCCATGAGGCTGAAAACTAAAATCAATTTTGTTCTTAACATCCTAGAGCTTGAGTAGGACACAGAAACTGTTTACGACAGATCACAATTCGTTACCCAATTCAAGATGAGTAATTCTCAGAGGCAATAAAGCGAACGCCATCGGCGCGTTGAGTCAAAAATGATGGGATGAGAACGTGCTGAAGTATTCGACTTGTTGAAGAGAAGAAACCCCAGTGGTTTTGGCTGGCTTTGATTTTTCGAAGGAATTTTGATGTGACATGACTTGCAGGAATCCTTGCCTGCAGAAAATTGGTGCATTTTTTTTTTTTTTTTTGACAAAATTGGCGCTTTTTTTTTTTTTTTTGCCGACAAAATTGGCGCAGTTGGTTCCTAAACTTTTTGAATAATTCAAAGAGAGAAAATTGAGGAACTCTTTTTTTAGCCCTAGATTTTGTTAATAGATTTTATGGTAATTATTTCTATGACAATAATGGTTAAGTAATTATTTTGTAATAATAAAGATTAAGGACAGTAAAATAGAAATAATTTTTTGTATAATTTTTATATATTATTAAATAAATAAATACACTCAATATTACATGTTTTAAATAAATAAAAAAATTAATTATTTAAATAATATATAACATTATACAAAAAAGTTATACTTAAATTATTTTTTAAAGATTAGTTTGGCTTGGTTTGGTTTGATAAACAGTTGATAAATATTTTTACCTTAAACAACTAATAAAGTAAGGGATTGTGAAAAATTAAAATATTATGATATTTTAAGTATTAGAAATAATAATGAAAAAACTAAAATACTATTAAAAAATTAACACATAAAAAATTTTATTTAAGGTGTTTGAATACTTTTACATGAAATTTTAATATTGAAAATGTCAAAATATTTTGATTTAGACTTTTCTCTTAAATTATTTTTAAAAAAAAACCTCTATAACTTGCTTTCAAATTACATATCAATTATTAAAATTCAACTTTTAACTTTTGATTAACAACTACAATTATCATTTATTTTTATCAACTAAATCTAACAGAAACTAAATACAAAGTTTTATAAAACACTAATATGTAGCAATTCGCAATCAATAATCCCAGTTAATCTCAAACTATTGTACTAATTAGGGTTGATGAAATGAAAGTTTAGTGTTATTTTCATGATTTTTGGATCACATTTGAGTTGTCTTCAACACATGACTTCACCCTTTAGTCTCGTTGAACGTTGTTAAAAGGCACAGAAAAGAGGGATTTTTCTTTTTCAGGAGCTGTAGTATGCAAATAGAGAACATAATAGGGAGTTGTGTGATACCGATACGTGCCATTTTTTTCCGTTTTGGAAGATAGGGTCTTAAATGTTATTTCTCTAGACTTGAAGGGGGCAAAATGACATTTTCGTCAATATGAAGGTTCTTTGCAACGTCCGAATTTGGAAAAAATCATTCTAAAAAAAAAGAAGTTTTTTCTTCCACGCAAGAAATTCGGGCGAGCAGGGTGGCAATTGACAAGCCATTCCTACTTTGAAAAATCAAACATCATTTCCTTCTTCCACTTGACTTTTCGCACTTGCAGAACCAATTGTACAGAGCTTCTTCTTTACCATTTTCAATATTCTGTGTGTGGATTTTGGTTTTGAGAATGGAAAGTTTCTTCAAGGTGGTGCTTTTGTTCCTCTGCTTTCTCCTTATTGCAAATGTATCAGAACTCAAAGCTGCAGAGGAAAAATGCCAGACGAAAAGGTGCAAACACCAAACCATCCGTTTCCCTTTCGGACTAAAAGGGCTGGAGCCAGACCTCTGTGACTGTGGCTATCCCGGGTTTGATATATCCTACATAGAGAAAAAGCGGATGGTGCTAGAACTGCCACAAAATGTCAAGTTGGTGGTGAAGCATATAGATTATAGAGCACAGACGATTCAGTTATCCGATCCAGGAGGTTGTCTGCCACTACAGCTTCCCAATCTCAATTTATCTCTATCTCCCTTCTGGTTTACAGGAAGCGACCCACCACAAAAATACACTTCTTTCAATTGTTCAAGGGAGGATAATTGGTTTTTTCAACGTGACAAATACTACAAGATTCCTTGCTTAAGCAGTCCAGAATTCCAAGTTCTAACTACACCTTCTGATTCTTCACCTACCTTTAGCTTGGTGAATTGCAGTAGAACATTGCTGAACATTTCTGAGACAGCAGTATATTCAGAGATGTTGCATTACAAGAGAGGTGATATTGTTCAGTTAAGTTGGTCCAAACCAAACTGCACAAAATGTGAAGCAGTAGGCAGGAAATGCAAATTGAGGAATGATAACATACATGGCGAAATAGAGTGTTTTGGTACCACCAAGAAAGAAAGAGGTATGCTTTTAGCATTTCCAAATATTATCAATAACCTCATTTCTCACTGAGTTTAGTTGTTTTTCTTTGATATTGCCTTAGTTGTTGTGTTGCTTCGATGTTTGTTCTTTTTCCTGTTAGAGATGAGTGTCGTTTAGGATTTAGTTTTCCCTGACCACTGGCCAAAAGGCTATGATACATTGGTTTTCATATTTTGCATATTACATTGGTATTGATTTGAGGAACATATATGAAGCAGCTAAATTTCCTATGTTTTACAGAGAGGCGAAAAATTCTATTGGCTATGGGTATAATTCTAGG